CTGTGGGTATGTCGGGTTACACTTAGATGTTAGGATTGTAGGTTCTTGCAGTTTTCCTTGCTCACTAAAACCAACACGGCAGGACAGTGTACAATATGTTTTATTGAGCAACACCTCCCTCTCTACTCTTCTGCGCGCCCAGTGCGCGTTCTCTTCTATCTCCTCCCCGGTGCGCTGCCCAAACACGCTCCACTGAAACAACTAAACAACATAACAGAACCCAACACAATGCAACAATGAACTGTCAATAAAATAAATGCAAAATAATATAAATTCATTATCCAAACAATATATAAAATAATAATCACACAAATTAATAATAACAAATGGAATAATATGCATCAAAATAAATCAAAGGTTACATAAGTAATAGTTATAGAAATAGTAATAGAAATTGTAAATAGTAATAGTAATAGTAATAGTAATAGAAATTGTAAATAGTAATAGTAATAGTAAGGATTAAGATGTGTTCTTAATATGATTTGCTCTGGTTCCAGACACTCGTAGAGAACAAGTCTTACCGAGTCTAAACTCTAGGGGGCGTAGCAAGATAAGAGTTAAATACAAAATAAACTGGCACAATTACAAGAAAATCAAAACAACAGAAAGAGAATGAGGTGGGAGGAGGATCGAGCTCTCTTCTAATGTTTCATTGTTATCTCAGAGCTGTAGTACACTTTAAATTCACTCATAAAACAAGGAAAAGAGGATTTTTCATCTTTTCAAATGGACTCTCCTTTACTTTAGCAGAAGAAGATGTGGTCAAGTGTAGCCCAACATGTTGAGTTTAGTTGAGTCTTTATCTGAAGGGACAAACAGAGATGTTCTGTACCAGATTCGAGCTAAACTTAGTCTCTGATTTACAGAGTAAAGTTGGATCAACACAGTGTATGAGCTGCTCTTTCTATGATCACATTTGACAAGAAGAATGTCCTGCTTCACTCTCAACGTGGTGACAGAAGAGACCCCCAGCTCCACAAACCTCTGAACATCCACACTGACTTCTCCCAGGTTAAAGGCCTGGATTGATTTTTCTAAATATATTTGGTTAGGGATAAATCTTTGAATTTAGTTGCAAAAAAGTATTGAAAAACAGTGACTCTATGATGATTTTACAGCTGTTTTTGTAAGTGGACATTTATGTTCTTAGGGTCCTGAGCCAAAGATGACACAAACTTGACACAAACTTCAAACTTGACACAAACTTCAAATTTCAGACAAACTTGAAGCTTCCTTGGACACGTCCCACTCTCGACGAAACATCACTGATAGAGTGTGTGTGTGTGTGTGTGTGTGTGTGTGTGTGTGTGTGTGTGTGTGTGTGTGTGTGTGTGTGTGTGTGCTGTGTGTGTGTGTGTGTGTGTGTGTGTGTGTGTGTGTGTGTGTGTGAGTGTGTGTGTGAGTGTGTGTGTGTGTGTCTGTGTGTGTGTGTGTCTGTGTGTGTGTGTGTGTCTGTGTGGGGTGTGTGTGTGTGTGTGTGTGTGTGTGTGTGTGTGTGTGTGTGTGTGTGGTGTCTGTGTGTGTGTGTGTGTGTGTGTGTGTGTGTGTGTGTGTGTGTGTGTGTGTGTGTGTGTGTGTGTGTGTGTGTGTGTGTGTGTGTGTGTGTGTGTGTGTGTGTGTGTGTGTGTGTGTGTGTGTGTGTGTGTGTGTGTGTGTGTGTGTGTGTGTGTGTGTGTGTGTGTGTAAATATCTCAGTTTTTACACTACATGTGAACTTGTTTGCCTTTTTTAAGGATAAGGGGTAGTGTGACAGAAATTCCATGTGACAATAAAATGAGACAAAAGAGACAGTTGTAATAAGGGAAGTCGAGGGGTTAAAAAGATTTATTATAAATATTTGATGAGTGATGACACGATGCAGCCTCACTCTTGTCCACACAGACTGGACTTCAGGCATTGGTGGAGGAATCCTGAAACAGTAAAGAAAAAACTATAAGTGCAAATTTTACAATACATCCAATTAGATTTAGATTTTGTGGTCGTTATTTCTATCCATCTGAAATCAGATTTTCTTTATTAAAAGAGTGAAAGAGTCTGGAGAAGATGAGAAGAACACTGCTGCAACATGGTTCAGCATGAACAGTTTGGTGGTGGCTCAGTGATGTTCTGTGGAGGCAGATCCATGGAAGGACACACAGATCTCTACTGGCTAGAAAATGTCAGTCTGATGCCATTATGTATCAGGATGAAATCCTTGAACCCAGTGTCAGACTCTACACTGGTGCAGTAGGTCCTGGGTTCCTCCTGATGCATGATAATGTCCAGCCTCATGTGGCAAGAGTCTGCAGCCAGAACCTGGAGGATGAAGTGATTGGTCCATGAGATGCCGCCAGGTTGCATATATCCATTTTTTTTTTTTTTCACAGTGAAATCTGATGTTTTCAAAGTGTTCCTTTGATTCTTTTGAGCAGTGTATATACAGTCTATGCTCCAGCTCTAGTGGTCACATGGTTTGTTCTGTGAAGAGACTGTCGGGAGACTGTGGATGTTGGACCAGGGGAACTTTTCTTGTTGTCAGAATGAGACATTTGACCTGTGACAGATCCAGAGTTGAGTCTGCAGACAGTAGAAGGTGATGGCTCTCTCAGATGAAGCACGACGTCCTCCTGGTTTACATAAGAACTCTCCACAAATGTTTTTCCTGATTATTTATAATGACTCATGGTCATAATCAGAAAGTTCAGACCGGCAGCCCTGACTGGGGCCTGTTGTAAATCCACTTATCATATTTATATTCTCAGTTTGGAGATATGAGTGTTAGTTACTCAATCAAAACATTAAGAATTGAAGAAATTAAGGTTTACAGCTCAAAATGAGTCCCCTGAGACATTAAAAAACAACTAATTGTTATTACCAAACTTACTTGTTGATTAAGGCCACTCAGATAATCAAAACCAAATCAAAATCACTATTTGAATGGACGTAATTAACAAATCACAAATACTGCAGTTTTTGAAGTCCCACCATTTCCTCTACAAACACAATCTCCTGTCTTATTGTGCAAACAAACTGTAGTTTAGACCTGCACACACAAATGTGATTCTTGTATTAGTTTGTCAGTTTATGTTTGACTCTTTTGTGAATTCTCCAGAATCTTATTATTAAAAAACTTGAATTACAAATCTAATCAATCACAATGTCAGGAAAATCACAATGAAATATTTATCTTAAATTGTGCAGTCTTATTGTCCATTTCAAATGCCACCTTTTCTTCCTTAAATTCATTTAACCAGGTTGTTGTAGATAAAGTTGCAGAATAATTTTACATCATTTCCTTCCACATTCAGAAATCTCACAGTGTCGACATCTTATCAGTGAACACACTTTATTTCATAAGTTAAATCTACACACAGCCTGCAGTCCACAGTCTGCACAACTAACTGACCTCTTTACACAACTAGAGACATGATACATTAGGAGTTGATAACTTTCCACAACAAAAATGAAACCATCTACCAGAGTAAAAAGTGCAATGGGTGGAGTTAACACACAAAAATATGCTAATCACATTTGTGTTATTATTATTCATGAATTTATTTATTTAAAATATACAATGGAATATACCACAGTATAAACTGTAACTGCTGGAGGCTTAAGAATTCACAGCTCAGCATGTGTAATATCTGCATTATACAAATGTTACAAATGTAGAAAAATAATAAATAAATACATTCACATTTTATATTTCAAATTCCATACAAAATGCTTTTGTTTCCTTGGCTTTGGGATTTGTGCAATAATTAGGGAAAGAAAAGAAAGAAAGAAAGAAAGAAAGAAAGAGACAAAAGGGACATAAATACAACAAATTTGGGTTTTGGACGATGAAATTTACAGCAATGGATATGAAATTTTGATAGGATTGTTGTGGCAAAAATGATATATCTCTTGAAGATAAATAATGAATCCATTTGCGAAGCTTGATGAGTTTTTGGAATATAGACCAAGGTTTATTCTTGTTACAGCAGATATGGACAGGGCCTAGTCCTGGCCTGGCCAAAGCCCAACAGCCTCTCCCTCAGCAGCAGCATGTCTCTACTCCATTCTTCCAGAGTCCCCCTCCAGTATCTGCCCCGTATCTATCCCGTATCTTCCCCAGAACATTTGAGCTCTGAGTATTCATACAGAAATACAAGTTATACACATATCAAAGCAGAGAGACTTTGGTTTCAGAGGCTGTGCTAAATTAACATAGTTGAGGACAACAAGGTCTGGGTTTCAGGTAGAAATCACATTCATTTACACATAGACAGATTGAAAGAAATCTTTCCATCTAAATTTCTATCACAGGATTTGTAAGTATTGATATTAGTAAGTTCAGCACATATATATTTTTTGTAGCAATATCTTTCTCCAAGACAAAAAGTACAACAAGTTTTTTATTTATTTTTTTAAAAACTTGTTGTATGTACTTGTTGTATGTATAGTATATAGCCTGTCTGCAGTATGAGCCGTTTATTACCTGGCCAGCCAGAACCACACATTTTGTAGAAGGGACTGGCTCATCAGGCAAAGCCATTTACACACTGCCACATTGTTTAGAAAAGTTCAGAATAATAAAATAAAGTTGGATAAAGTTTGTTTTTTGTACTGAATTCATGTCGCTTTCCATATTGATTGATTGATTGATTGATTCGTTTTTATTTCGAGTTTGTGCCAAGAGAGAAATAATCATATATTCTACATACACATTGTAAACAACAGAAAAGCACATTTCTCGAAAAGGATTGGGAAGAAGAAAAACTTATATGAACCCACCCCTATTCCTATATAATATAATGTGACTGATAAAATCTCCAGTGTTATTTATTTTTACAAAAGATTACACCGTCTGAAAACTGCACTGTACGTGACACAAATACCTTCAATCCACATAAGAAATAAAAAAACTGAACCAAATTGTGGGAACGTTTGATATTTGAGTATAATTCCTCCTTGTTGCTGATTGGTGGTTGACAGTCACATGCTCCGTTGGACCAATCAGGAGACAGGAGAGGCGTGGCTCTGCAGTAAACACTTCACATCCCACACTGCACCGCGGGGTAGTGGCACTTTTAGTGTCTTTTCTGCAGCTTTTCTCCTGCACCTGCAAACAGAAACTCATAAAAACATTCGGACACCCTGTAGCACTTTTAATCCGAGTTATTCCTCCGCTTTATCTCCTCAAATCGTCTTTTTGTCCGGTTGCGGTGAAGGCATTTTTATTGGACTGTGAAAATGGCGTATCCGGGATTCGGAGCAGCTCCAGGTGGATTTCCAGGCGCGGTAAGAAAACTCCCAAACTGTGAATAATCTTCTGAAAGTGCGTTCAGTATAAAAGATTCAGCTCGTGTTTGTAGTTTCATTTTAATCACCGGTGTAATAATCCCGGAAATTGGCAGGAAATGAAGGTTTACGCCCAAAACCGAGTGTCCCGGGTCTTTAAACTGCTCCACACTTGTTATGACAGAAGTTGCCATTAAAACGTGCTTAAAAATTGGAAATGCACATGTTTACAACTTTACTTCTGCGAGTAGCACGTAGATTTCATTCAGTAATAATAGAAGGCGTAATAAAAGCCACACCTTGTCTGTAATATAGTAATAAAAACATTCCTATTGTCTGCCCTACTTACATGTGTTTGTAATCCCTCTGTCCAGGATCCATAGCGAGGAGAAATTCACTTCTGTCACTGGACAAAAGTTTTTGATCAAAGATGTTTCACAGCTCATCCAAGATGCTTCTTCAGTTCTGTTCAGATGACAGAATTGAATTTCTAATTTTCTATGACTTACTTATCCTTCTTTTTTTTTTCTTTTTTTTTTTATTGGCATCAGATATCCACAACCAGTTAAAAGTTTGGACACGCTTTTCATTTTTGTTTATTCCCATGATTATTTACATTTGAGGGTCTCACTGAAGCATCAAAACTCTGAATGACACATGTGGAATGGAGAAAACAAGAAATAAACTGAAAAGAACTCCAATAATGCTTTAGATTTGTTAAAAATCCCTTTACCCTTTGCTTTGATCATTGCACTTTGCACTTTTTTTTTTTTTTTTTTTGCATTTCTTGACCTTGAGGCACAGCTGTGAAATGAAAACCATTTCAGGAGACTTCATCATGAAGCTCATTGAAAGAAGGACAAAGGTTTTACAGCACTGTTGACGAAGCAAAGGGTGGAGACTCTGAGGATTTCAATCTAAAGTATAAAAAATATTCAGAGTTAGTGGCAGTAGCAGCAGTAGTAGCTGTAGTACTTGTAGTAGCAGTAGTAGTAGCATTAGTGGTAGTAGTAGTAGTAGTAGCAGCAGAAGCAGCAGCAGCACCAGTAGTAGTAGTGTCATGTTCACTCTTTTATCTGATTTCTTAACCTGTCAGGTATTTTCCAAACCCACTTTATTTCTAGAGCACATTTTACAAACAAAGCATTTTCCAAAGTGCTGCACAGAGATCCTAAAATGAAGACAACAAAAAGATAAATTGCTAAAATTTGGTCACACCAGTCCTAAAACCAGCTAAATCAAATTAAAAGGGAAAAAAAAATCATAAAATAGCAGTAAATAGTAAAATAAATAAAAGACACAGAGGAGCACACAACTCACACCGTGATAAAAGCCACAGAATAAAAGTGAATTTTAAGACGAGACTTAAAACTCTCTACTGTAGGGCCTTTTGGGACATGGGGGGACAGAACATTCCAGATTTTGTAGTTGGTCACAGAGAAGGTCCTGTCCTCCTGGTTTTAAGTCTCATCTTATGCCACACGAGCTGGAGCTGGACCTCGGACCTCAGAGCTCGCTGAGGAGTAAATGTGGATGAGGTCCAAGACGTAACGTGGGGCCAGTCCATTCAAATCTTTAAAAACAAACAATAAATCTTAAAATCAAACTGGAAGCTGGTGCAACAACACTAAAATTGAGGTAATGCGCTCACATTTTTTGGTTCCAGTTAAAGGTGCGCAGCAGAGTTTTGGAGCAACTGTAAGTGAGAAAGTTCAGGAGGCTGATGCCAGAGAGAAGTGCTTTACAGTCATTTAAACAAGAGGAGATAAAAGTGTGCGTGACCTGTTCAAACGATTTAAAAAGAAATACAAGGTTTAATTTTAAATAAAAGACGCAATTGATAAAAGCCAGATTTTACAACCACATTTACTTGTTTGTCAAATTAAAAATCCCTGTCACTGTTAAGACACTGGAGGAGAGGTGTCAGGGGGCAGGAGCAAGTTTTTTTAAGTGACAAGTAAATTTGGCAATCATCTGTGTAGAAGTGATATTGAATGTTATATTTTTTAAAGATTTGCCTCAGTGGGAGGAGGTACAGAAAGAGCGGGAGCAAGAATTGAACCCTGGGGGACTCCACAAAAAGCTCAGTTTTCACAAACAAAGAACAGTTTTCAATAAATTTCAATATAAATTGTAACTGTAAAAAAATGTTGTGTCCTAAGAACTTTTGAGTGCTGCTCGTGGTTCCTAAAGCTCTTCTGTCTGTTTTCCTATAGGGTCAGTCCATATGAAATCAGCTGCCCTCCCCTACAAGCCATCTCAGATTTGGCTGAAAAAAAGGCTGAAAAAAATTCAAAACATTTCTAAAATCACCAAATGCAAGAATCTAAAATTTTAGTTCAATCCCTGGAATCGTTCCTGAGTTATGGCCCGTTGAAATTTTGGGGCCAAATTTGGACTTTTTCGGAAGCCTTAATTTATAAGCATGTTTGAGAGACCAGAACTTCAAAAAAAGCTGAAAATTGTATTATTGTAGATTCTTGGTCATAGATTCTGAATCGGTTGTCAGATATTGGGTATTTTTGTTATGGGTGGTGCAAATCTCACATTTGGTTGCCGCTCAATTTTTTTTTCCATTTTTGAGGTCCAAGATCTATTTAATCCAAGCAGATATTTACAAACTAACTGTTGAACCTGAATATTGGAGAGAATGAACATTTCTGACAACAATCTCACACTTTTCTGAGCTTTCATGTGGATGATGTAGAGTCCCAAATATGGTCACAGCCCAAATGTGACCTTTTTGGCCCCTTCTTTGGAGCCTCGGTTCCCCATGTGGCACAGTTAGATGTTGATACATATTTTACCAGAGAAACTTTGGCATATTCTGATTAGTTTAAAGTAATAAAAGGATCTACTATTAACTTCCTAAATTTCAAACGGAATTTTTGAAAATGAGCTCTCATGGGTCGTTTTTGGTGGAGCTTAGGGACTTGTCTACCTGATAGAAAGATTCACTTACCTTTAATAGACTTAAACACTATTTGCTTGTTATAAGGGAAGACAATTGGAGATTATTTGTGGTACATTGCTCGGAAAAGTGTCATTAATCTTTTAAGAAAATTCAACTGTTAACACATTTTTTCAGCCAAATCTGAGATGGCTCACAGGGGAGATTCCTTGAAATTGGCTGATTTCATATGGACTGACCCTATAGACAAAAATGCGTTGTCAAAAATATGCATGAAAGGAATAATTTCTTTTTATTTATTTCATTTCAGCAACAGGACCCTTTGTACGGATACTTCGCCTCTGTTGCCGGGCAGGTAATGCCATAATAATATAATAATAACTATAACATCTGTAAAAAATCTGTTTATTAATGTCTGATTTGTGTATTTCAGGATGGACAGATCTCTTCAGACGAGCTCCAGCGCTGTCTCACCAGTTCAGGCATCTCTGGCTCCTACAGCCGTAAGACCTTTGATTTTATAGACTTTTATAATTCTATTGACATCTAAGCATTGTATATTTAATTAGTCTACTTCAGTAATGAACTTAAATCTAATCTTTATGCATTTAGTGATGGTGGGGTCAAAACAAATGAAACCAGTAGGGCTCTAGTTGAGATTCTGAACTAGGTTTTAGGTAGGACTCAACCAGGACTCAACCAGGACTCAACCAGGACTCAACCAGGACTCAACCAGGACTCAACCAGGACTCAACCAGGACTCAACCAGGACCAGTGTTGGGAGTAACGCATTATAAAAGTAACGTAATGCATTGCTTTTTGCTGTAGCAGTAATGTGGCATTACAGGTAAAAAAAGTGTTAATATTTTACTCGGTACAAATGTCAGTCACGCACATTACACTGTTTTTTTAACCTGGATTCAAGTGGTGGGTTTTTCGTTTTTCTTCATACAAATTTGCTAAAATCGTCACCATATCAGCAGTGGTGAAACCCCGGAGACATGCCTGTGTAGACCGCCCAGGAAAGGACCGGTGCAGAACTCCACGCTCCACGGGGCAAACCGCAGCTGAAGTTCTAGTCCAAGATTAGTCCTGGTTTAGACCTGGTTCAGTTCTGGCTTAGACCTGGTTTAGTTCTGGTTTAGACCTGGTTCAATCCTGGTTCAGTCCTGGTTTAGCTCTGATGTAGTCCTAGTTTAGTCCTGATTCAGTCGTGATTTAGTCCTGGTTCAGTTCTGGTTGAGTCCTGGTTCAGTCCATATACGGCGCAAAAGTTCAGCATTTTCACAGTTATTTTGGTGAGAGTAACTCAAAAGTGCTGCAATAGTCATGTAATGTTTAACATTTTAAATACAGTAATATTGTAATGTAACAAATTACTTTGAAATGACAGTAACAAGTCATAAATAACACATTACAGTTTTAAAGTCACTTGCCCAACAGTGACCAGGACTAACCCAGGCAGACACCAAAACCTTATTTCCACTGATCCCCCCGTGAGTTAACCTGAAGAGTGTGTTCACCTGCTGCCTGTGAGATTAGAGCGCTCTCACCTTTACCCTGTGCTCATGAACTCTAATCTGATGGAACCTTTTTATTGTACCTGATGATAGGACGGAATCTACTCAGAGATTTGGTTATTTTAATGATCAGTGATTAACCTGGGTTTGTTAAAAGTGCTGAGTTTAAGTTTAAATTTTTATGAACTGGACCTATCTCAGTCTCCAGATATGAAGTAAACAAATTCAAATCAAATATAACTTTTAATGCTGATTTATTCTTAATTACAAAAATATTGAATAAGATGGCCTATTTATTTGGTTCAAGACAGTTATCCAATCAGAAAGCAGAATGAGCCTCACGTGACTCTCTCATGTGGGTTGTCAGTTTGAATGCTGAAATCTAGTTATTTTAAGCCTAAAAGTCTTCTCTCTGATCTGAACGGTCTCCACCTAAACCCCAGCACCTGCACCAGTCCTGAGTCAGTGCTAGTGCCGCCTCTGCAGTTCAGAACCTCCAGAATGAGACATGGTTTAGCCGTATAGTGAGAATGAGAAAGGTTGTTGTGACTGTGGTACTTTTTAAAACAGTAGACTACATGACGTTTCTTTAATGGAGAGGTTTACAGCCACTCGTCTGTCAGTAAAAGCATATGGTTTGAAGCAGAAGCAAAACTTTGGAGGAAAAACTGTGTTTACACAAAATGGACTCTTGTGAGCTTTAAGTCAGGTCATAATGTTGTTACCTCACCAAAAACAGACGTGGAGTTGTGTTTTGTTTCATTCACACATGTTCGAGTAACTCTTTATTATTAGCCACAACTCAAAATGCTTTGACCTTGTGGAACGTTGTCGTGCAGTGATAGTTTTCCAAGTTAACATCTCTTTGTATGTAGTTCAGGAAAGATTGGCAATCCCAGGGCTGGAATGATCCAAATGATTCTAGTGAGGGTGTATGGAGTTTAAAAACACAGTGGAAGGTGGAACAGACCATTTTCTGTTTGAGAGAAGAACTCAGTCTAAATATGCAGGGTTTGTGTGTTTAAAGATTTGTGAATGAAACAAAACACAACTCCAGGTGTGTGTGTGATGAGGTGAGTCATTTAAGTGCTAATGAGTGAAATATAACAGAACAAAGGACAGGTTTAAATCTGTTTTGCATTTCATGAATCCAGTGAAGCAACATTCTCTACAGTTTATCTGATGAAGACACATCGTAAAGTAGTTTGAGGAATATTTAAAGGTGCATTATGTAACTTCTCTGGTTCACCTGCTTGTCTGCTTGTATGGAGATAATTACATTTAATATCATACTGTGGAACATTCCGAGCAGTAATTACATACTCATTTTCTGCAGGTATTAATACTAAAAAAGTCCCATTGAGGACAGAAATTAATTTTTCCTAAATGCCTTTAGAGTGATCTTGAGCTCTATCAGAACCAGTATAAGTGCACATGGACTAGTACCATATTTGTCAGAATATAAATCACACCAGAGTATAGGTTGCACTTTTTGGGGGAAATTTATTTTATAAATCAGAGACCAGAAACTGATATTTCATGTTGAAAGGGAAGTTAGTAAGAGTAATAATAACAATAGAAGAGAGAACAACAGACTGTTAACGTCACATATGAACAGTTCTTCAGATAAACTATAACATAAACAACAGAACAGAACAAGTTTATCAAACTCTCCATCTCACTCCAAATCACTAAATATATTAAATTCTCCTCACCTCCAGAGGTAAACAGAGCACCGCTTCCTCTTCTGTGTCGCTGTCGTCAGACTCAGCATCAGTTCCAGTTAGAATTATTCGGGTCTTTCTGAATCCCGACAGGATGGTTTCAGTGTCACTGAAGTCCAGACTTTGTCCGTCCATCCAGTGACTTCAGGAAAGTTTCATGGTGCATCCTCCCAGTGTCACAAGTTTCTCTCTCAGTTCAAACTTTCTTTCTGCTGCTTGATTATTGTTTTCAGCTGCAGATTTCACGACTTGCAGTTTGTAATCTGCAAGATATGATTTTGTTTTTGGGGGCATTTGTGTTCAGTCTTCTCAGTCGTCTTTATAAGTTTGTTTAAATGTAAATTGTTCAGTGGTGCAGAAGTAATGATGCGATCACTGACATGATACAGACAGAACAGAGGCTCTTTCTGCAGGAGACATGTGCAGTAGAGTGAAGTGACAGTGGTACAGGAGGAACAGGAGCAGCAGATACTCACACACAAGACTAGAACCTCTCCACGCTTCAGTGTGAACATTTTAATATATAAGTCGCAGGAAACGCCCAAACCATGAAAAAAAAGTTCAACTTATAGTCTGAAAAATACAGTATACGCCCATGGACACTATGGAACCTACGTGGACCACTGAGGGATTACACACTTATAATAATTGCATGATAAGATAAAAAAAAAGTACTTCAATTTTTTATGTTGAAAATCACATTTTATGGTTCATTATCATCAGAGTTGGTATTAAGTATTGAATCTTTTCCTTAGTATCAAAATCAAAATGAAATTTGAGTATGGTGACACGCTGCAAAGCAGTAATGGTTCCATGAAGACAAACAGGTGGCAGACTCTCCACCTGAAAAGTTACATAGTGTGCCTTTAAATATATTAAAGTCTAATGAAGTTGTTTATGTTTAACCTAATTATTATGTGTGTGTTTTTTATAGCGTTCAGCCTGGAGACGTGCAGACTCATGATCAGCATGTTGGACGTATCCTTTGGCAACGGTGTATTAAACAATGTATTACTCTATAAATGAAGAATTTCAAAGACATGTTCAAACTTGCACCTGTAGTAGTAGTAGTAGTAGTAGTAGTAGTAGTAGTAGTAGTAGAGCAATCATAATTTAATCAAAACACTTTCTAAATTGTAAATGTCCTTGTGTGTCTGTGAACTCTTATTCTGTGCTAACCCTGTAGTTTCAATCTCTCAAACATGTTCTGAAATGCCCCAGTGTGTCAGATGCCCTCCCTGTCTCTCCATCTGATCCTATTGTGTGTAAAAGCTGCCAACCCTGTAGTTCAGATCAACAACATTACACAGATTGTGTTGGATTAGGTTACAGTTGAGAATTCAGTCCTGTCTTGAATATTCCAGCTCCTGGTTGTGTTTAAAGAGTACATATTATATTTCAAACATATTTGCTTGTCCTGTCACACTTGGTGAATGTTGGTTGGTTCCTTCACAGTTTTCCTCAGAGGGATTATTCAGGCTCGATGGGCTTCAATGAGTTTAAGGAGCTGTGGGGGGTTCTGAACCAGTGGAAGACCACGTTCATGGGCTACGACCGAGACCGCAGCGGAACAGTGGATCCACAAGAACTGCACCAGGCTCTGAGCAGCATGGGTATCCAACTACTGCTACAATACATCAGCTCATGTCATCAGCACGCTCACTGAATCTGAGCTTTTTTAACACAATCTGACCAAACAGAACTGTCCTCTTCTCCTCCGCTCATCCTCCTCTCCTCTCCCCTCTCTTCCACTCCTCTGCCCTCTCTTCCACTCCTCTGCCCTCTCTTCCACTCCTCTGCCCTCTCCTCCATTCTCTCCTAAGTTCATCTTCTGTTCCTCAGCCCTCTCCTCTGCTCTTCTGCCCTCTCCTCCTCTTCTCTAAGTAGAAAGTCAATCCGAGCGTTGGTAGAGGTGATGTGCTCTGTCTTTTGTAAACATGTCCAGCAGAGACGCACACGAACAGTAACATTTTGGCCAGTGTTGACATCTGTCTCTGTTTTTGGTCTGTAAATCTAACGCTGTATAAGTAGCACAAAAATACAATAAAACAGTGTAATGTAGAGTCATGTGCAGTGCAGCAAATGAACAGAGCAGCCATGACCAAACCGCAGTGAAACCTTTCATTTGCCATGATTCACAATGTTAATTACATTATGATTCATCTAGTTAGTATGCAGTTGGCTTTTTGAAATCAAACTCTTTGAATGAAAAAAATGAACAAAGTAATATCATTTACACTTGACATGTAGATGTAGAAGTGGAAATGACTTCATCTTCTTAAATTTTCACAATTTTTACCTCCGCCAAGGAGGTTATGTTTTTGCCGGCGTTTGTCTGTTTGTTTGTTTGTTTGTCTGTTAGCAACATAACTCAAAAAGTTATGGACCGATTTTCAGTATTTGTTGGAAATGTGAAAAGGAAGAACTGATTTCATTTTGGGGGTGATCCGGAAGAAATCCTGGATTCTGGATCACTTTGAAATTTTAGTTAACATTGTGGTAAATGGGGCCAAAAATTTAGTTTCTCAATATCTCGGTTAATTATTGACCAAACCCCATGAAATTTGACTCAGGGATGGACAATGGGATCCTCTTTCATATTCCAAATTGAAAGATACGAGACAAATATTTATGGAAAACACAATTAATATGAGGGGGACTGTAGTCCTTGGCGGAGGTCTGCGCTCTCTGAGTGCTTTTCGAGTTGTTCTTAGATTAGGGTGCGTTCATGTGGCATCAGCACACTGTAGAGTCTGTACAGTTGAACCTGAGCTGGAGACAGGTGAGAGAGTCAGGTGGAGTTTGCTGTGGAACTGTTAGGTGCAGATTTGTTGACCTGGTCTCTGTAATTCCTGGTCCTATCCACATGAAATAAAAACTGGCTCAAAGTTCAGCATCTGAAATGATTTTTTCACAACAGCTTCAGAAAGTGGAGCCATTATTCCACCCCAAAGACCAGAGTGTTTCAACCTAAAGGACTTTTAGATTAAGACATAAGATTAATATGACAAGTTTGTAAAGATGATCCCAAATGAGAAGGAGAGACATTTGTGGAGATTTTTTTTCAAAAACTGTGACTCTCTCATAGAGTTATACAGGCCCCTGCTCCATCTGAAGTCTTTTGTGTCTTTTGCAGGCTACAATCTGAGTTCTCAGGCTCTGAACTGCATCCTGAAGCGCTACAGTCACCACGGACGTGTCGGCTTTGACGACTTTGTTGGCTGTTGTGTCAAATTACGAGCTCTGACAGGTGAGGAAAACTCCTGTAACCTGCACAAGAAGTGGCAAAAAAAACCAAACCCAAACATAAATATTTTGTCTCATGTAATGTGGTAACCAAGAATATACGTATTTGTTTTCTTATGTAAGCTTGAGTATCAAAAAACCTGACAGGAGCAGAGCCAGAGGAGCAGACAGGATAGACAAACTCCACCCAGACAGAGGGAGAACATACAGAGTCCACACACATGCAACCCGGGAATCAAGCCTGAAACCTTCTTGAATATCTGGTACAGAGGAGGGAGATAAATGAGTTACTGTGGTTTGAGCTTTTGAGGAAACAGGAGATGAAATGGTTGAGTAATGATGAGAAAGGCTTTTGTTCAATACAGAATGGCTAATGGAGATAAAAACACAGATCAATTAGACGATTAAAAAGAGACCACGGCAAAGCCCTCCAAACTATTCTGTTTGTTTATATGTAGTTGACTCAAACTGCACTCACAACACTACACCTGCAGGGGGAGTTCATGCAAAAACCTCTATTTATGCAGAAAAAAGGACAAAGAAGCAATGTATTTATATAAAGAGAGATTCAACTTGTGAATGATGAGTTTACATGTGCATCAGTATCCCGGTTCTGACAGTATTCTGGATATGGCGTTTGCATGCTCTCAGTGAAACCAGAATACTCATGTCCCTGTGTACATGCGCCATAAGAGTATCCTGGATATTTACACTGGTTGCTATGGTAACTATGGTACAGATATGGCAAGGAGATACAGGACAGCCGCGGGGTATTAAAAGTCTTGAAAGGTCTTAAATTTCATGTTCCTAAATGAAGGCCTTAAAAAGTCTTAAATTATGTTGTCCAGGTCTTATTTTTTTCACAAAGGTCTTAAATTCCATTCGCCTATTTTTTGTTTACTCAACTGGGCTATAGTGCAATGTTAAATGGAGGGAGGAAAAAAACAACAACAAATCATGTAATGTGAATGAACATCTAACTTGTGTGCATATATGCTCAAACAAGACTTTGGTTTCTGGCGCTGGCAGGAGTGAGTAAAAAAACAGTACAGTGAACAACAGTTTGTTGTTGTTGAAAATGTTAAATGGTTGAAGCACTTTGAAAGACAACATGAGACAAGACAATGTGAAAGGTTGGTTTTAGGGATGGGCATTCGATGAAATTTTCTTAATCGATCGTCGGAAGAATTAACGATCGATTATCGATTAATCATTAATGTTTTTATATTAAAATGATCATCATTATTATTACTATCTGCACTACTAATCGGCATAAATAAATTCAATTTAACGAGATATTAACCGTAACGACTCTAGAGCCACATCAATCCGTTTGACATTATAATGTGTTTAAATCAGATTTGTTCAACTCTCACAGAAACGAAACTTAAAACCACATCACTAATTTACATAAACTAAGTGAAGATAAAACTCCAGCTCTTGTGTCGCTGATGTGGTGCAACTTCTGTCGGATTAAAAGACATGACTCAGGTGAATACAGGTTAGTGTGAACCAGATTTGCGTTTGTTAAAACCAGGACAGCGTACGGGGGGAGGGAGGTGGGGACTCGTCATCGACACTGCGCGACTCTCACCTGGTAAAACTTTTTCCCACTGGACACAAAAACATATGTGCTGCTTTGTACACTGTGCACATGGACTCACACTTGTCCCGAACGCAACGGAAAGCGTGGAATTTCTTGTACAAGTCATCGTTAAATACACATTTGTGCTTTGGTACGTTACAGACTGACCCACTGTTTGTGTCTCGCCCCTTCTGATGCAGAGACACATGTACAGACCTGTTTGATCTCCCTACGCTACACACAGCAACCTACATTTGGTTTGTCAATTAAAATTAACGTAATCGATGAAATTCTTAATGATCAATTATCGATTAATCGACTAATCATGCCCATCCCTAGTTGGTTTGTCTTGTTAGAATGTTATAAATGAGTTTTTTGGCCATTTTACACACAATGCATACAACTAAAAATGAGTTCTGAATGAGAATTTATAATAAAGGTATTTTTTGTTATTTAAAGCAGTGAGTAACGATCATTATTAGAATTGGATCTGGTGTTTTTCTTCCACATAATGGGTGAGATGTTGGTCTTAATTTTCATTGAAGTGGTTTTAAAAAGGTCTTTAAAAAGTCTTAAATTTGGGGGAGTCAAACCTGGGGATACCCTGAGATAAACATGTAGTAACTTTGGTAACTTCAGGCTTTTTAACAGGTTTCTAACAACAAAAAAGAAGATATACATTCAAGTAAGAACACAAGACTTTGGAGGTTCTGTCACAGCTTCAGTAAAAGACGTTTTTAATAGTTGAAAAATACAACACAGTGTCACAGAGTCAGTTTAGTTCAAGAGTTTTGTTACTCGAGTTTGCTCAGGCTCAGTACTGCTCCTGTTTACTGCATCTACAGGTCACAGTATCCTGGATACTCTCAGAAAAACCCAGTGAGAGTCTGATTTCTCATAACCGGCATACTGCTATATCCAGGAGACTGAAATTAGGATACTGCGTCTACCTGGACACTCACAAAACCAGGATACTTAAAATAACCTGATCATTACCAGGACACTCGAATGTATGTATACATACTCAAGTTTAATCAGACTTTTTACAGAGAAATACAAAAAAAATACCAATCTTCAGCTCACTTACACACTTCTCCATTCTGTTGTGGTCGCATATAAGCCCTTATTATTTGAAATACTGAAAAACTGGATATCTATTCCATGATATTGGTTATTCCAATCCAATCCACTTTATTTCTGTCACACATTTCACAAACAGTTTCCAAAGTGCTGCACAAATACATCATAATAACAATAATATAATGATAAAATAAACTACTAAAATAATCATACTAGTCTTAAAATAATAAAACCAGTAAAATAAAATAAAATCAAAACCATAGAATAGCAATAAATAAATCAAACCAATAAATAAATTAAATCAATAAAACTAATAAATACACATAAAAAATAAATAAAAGACACAGAGGAGCACACAACTCACGCAGTCTTAAAAGGCAGAGAATAAAAGTGGGTCTTAAGACAAGGCTTAAAACTCTCCAGTGTGGGGGCTGTTGGGACGTGGGGGGGCAGAGTGTTCCAGAGTTTATGGCCGACCACAGAGAAGCTCCTGTCCTCCTGGTTTTAAGTCTTGTCTTAGGCACCAAGAGCTGGAGCTGGACCTCAGACCTCATCAGACCATCAACCCAAAACATGCTACATAGGTCTCCAAGAACAGTTGATAGTCAAGGTCAATTAAAAATACAATCAATCAATGAACCTGTCCAGGGCACTGGTGCTAGTGGCACACTTCACCCACATTGCCTAGTATGAAAGTGGTGTGTGTGTGTGAGTGATGGTGGTGGTCAGAGGGACCGTTAGCGCCGATTGGCATGGCAGCCGTGCCTCTGTCAGTCTGCCCCAGGGCAGCTGTGGCTACAACAGTAGCTTACCATCACCAGGTATAGAGTGAATGAATAATATATGCTGAATGTAATGCTCTGTAAAGCGTCTTTGTGACAAAAAAATGTATGTGAAAAGCGCTATATAAATGGGGACTTACTTACTCAGAGTGCGTGGGGGCATAAATCTGGAGGAGGTCCGACCAACAATAAAATCTTAAAATCAACTCTAAAATGATCAGGAAGCGCAAGCGGAAGTGCAAAGACACAAGGATTGGGTTCATGTGTTCTCTCCTTTTTGTTCCTGTTAGAAGTCGCGCTGCAGAGTTTTAGACTCACTGTAGTCTGTAAAGTGCGTTTTGTGCAATGCTGGAATAAAGTGTGTTACAGTCGTCCAGGTGTGATGAAATAAAAGTGTGCACAACTTGTTGAAAAAGTTTAAAAGATAAAAAAGGTTTAACTTTAGATAAAAGCCGCAAATGATAAAAACTTGAAGAGTCAAATTTAAAATCACTGTCTAAGGTGACATAAAGGTTGGTGACTGTGGGATGAACATAGTTTAAGGTGAAGCCAGGAGTCCTCAAACTTTTTTCTCTGGGGGCCGCATTATCACTCTTGACTACAATGGGGGTCGAGGTCGAGTCGGGACCCTGACAACACAGATTATATTCTTTGAAAACCGCCACACTTTCTTTACATATCAGACAAACTGCATGGTTCTTCTCTGGTTCTGAACACGAAGTAATTGGTCGTCCACTGTTCTTCAAAAACCCAGAACTTTCCATCAAGTTTTGTACTCACCTTTTTGCTGTCTTTAACTGCACTACAGAACTCTGGTGGGGGTCAGAGGGGCCGGGGGGCCGGTCAGAGGGGAGTGACGGGCCAGAGTCTGCCCGCGGGCCTTAGTTTGACGAGTCGTGGGTTAAGCCGATATCCTTGTTGGATGTATAATTGGATATAATAAGACTTTTTACATGCTGATAATGTCTCATAATCTTTAAACTTTTATTTTCATTTAACTTTTCTATCCCTACATCCTGGTACCAGCAAATACCAAAAGTACTAGAACTGAAAAAGCTGGATTGGTGCATCCCAAACTAAGACTCAACCGATAAATCTGAATGACTAAAGGCTTACAGTCCTAACACACACACACATTTTAGCTCTTTTCTTTTTTTTTGCAGATCATTTCAGGAGGAGGGACACGTCTCAAAATGGACATGCCAACTTTGGCTATGACGATGTGAGTTTATTCAAAAAAAAAAGGAAAATATTATATAAAAATGTGCTTATTTACAATTTAAATGTAATCTTTTTCTGTTTCATTGCAGTTTATCCAAGTCACAATGAGCCTCTAAAGAAGATGTGAAATCACTTTTACTGTTTATTTTATATTACCACTATATAAACAATGTTGTCTTTACATTATTGTCAGAAGAATCAAAAGTCAGATACTAATCCATACTAAAACTGAGAGATTTCACACATATAAGAACACATGGGAATAGAAAAGAAATAATGTAGAAAATCACAGAGTGTTTTTTATTCTCATTGTGGTATCAGAATCGGTATTGAGTATCGAGTCTATGTACATTTTAGTATCTTGACAACACTCCATACTGTTATGTCATTGTCACATTCCATTTGAAATTTGCTCTGTAACTTTTCTGGAAGAGGGGGGAAAAAAAGTTTCAGCATTAAACATATCCACTGTATCTTGCATTTATTCAGTTACAGGCTCAAAAATACCTCGATAAACATGCATTCTTACAAGTGAGCACTGTTGCCTCTCCACAGATCTGACCTGTAGCTTGACCTAGAACTGTCATCTATTTGCATCCTTAGAGATAAAAGACAAGCAGGTGACAGACCCTCTGCTAGAAAAGTTCCATAGTTCTTTTTTCTAGAGCACTGTTCATCGTCACATTCCATTTTAGGGCATTTGCACAATTTTATTTCCTATCAGTGTGAACTAAACCATTCCTGTGCCTGACTAACACTGCAGCTTGAACTATTTTAGTGAAACATATTCAAAACTGTAACAATAAATACTGGAACAATGTAATGTGTTTGTAATTTTTATCACTGACATGCAGAGGAGGTAGAGTAACGTTACTTCAAAATAATATTACTCATGTACAAAGAAGTGATTTGAGAACTTGCTTACTCTGGGAAAACTAGTAAAGAGTAAGAGTAACTTAAATAGTAACATCTGATTTATAAATTGAAGGTAATGTAATTTGAAAGTGGAAATATGAGTCACAAAATCTGGTGTTTTCAGAGGACAGACCCAAAAATGAGACAAACTAAATCAGATGTGAAGGAGTTGCAAGAAACACAAACGTTCAAATTATTTCAGATTGTCACGTAAAGCTTTTGTCACTTTAGACTCACTCACAGTGGGAAGAGAAAGCACAATTTTTACTCAAGAGTAAAGAGTACTGTTACTTCAATAAATATTACTCAAGTAGGAGTAAAAGTATGCTGCTCAAAAAAGTGCAATTTCTTAAAAAAAAATTCTCATGTAAATGTAACTGAGTAAATGATTATGATTATAATTATCACTGAATTGTTACTGAGTACTTCCTCTTCACATGATGTGGTTCCTCAGAAAGTGTCAGTATAATTGAGCACGCACAGTCGTACATACAACTCTGCACACTAAAGAGAAAAATGTAGAGAACAAAGTGCATAATGTGTGCCATACTTTTATGATGGTGAATTCCATGGTAAACTATAAAACGAATGTGTTTTACAATCTTCTGTGCTCATTAAATCCTCTATAATGCATTAATTAAAATAGTGTGTGTTTTATATGGTTCTGTACTAGGTGGTAACTTTCTAAAAAAAAAAAAAAAAGTATATTGGAAATTTTTGTTTAAAGGTTTTACTATAGATATTACACAAAATTTTGTCTTGTGAGCTTTAAGAGTTGTTAATAATGTTGTTACCTCCTCAAAATCAGACCTGGAGTTGTGTTTTGTTTCATTCACACATGTTTGAGTCTTTTATTATTAGTCTGTCTACATCTCCAAAGGTCAAAGTGCTCTTTTCTACCTTGTGATGTCATGAAGTGGTAGTTTTCACGTTAGCAGTTACCATTAGTTGAGTAGAGATGGGCAATTCTAGGGGAAAAAAGTTCCTTCACATTTCTGTAAATTCAGTCTTAATCCACCAGGGGGAAACATCTTGCTTTAAAGAAGTAAGTGACATTTTAAGTTTAGTTTTCTTTCATTTTCACTCAGACTTCATTTCTGCATCACTAGACAATATTTTCATTACAGGTAAGTGCTTCATGCCTCTTCATAGGCCTATTCAGTTTATTTGTCACTTTAGAAGTTCACGTTTTCTGTTTGTTATAGGCTTTATAAAGGTGTGGACATGCTTAATTAGTATCTATTCTTTAGAAGTCCACCCATAGATATAGGGTGACTACAAAAAATAAAAAAAAACTGGGACATCCCCTTTTTTTTGGTGGTTGTAATAATAAAATGTGTTTTGGGCAACTTTTCTGTATTTTACCCTAAGAAATGACAATGTCTGCCTCTCTTTATTGTTGGCAGGGATCACATTGGTCACAAATAGGGACACCTGGGGAATTACTTATATAAAACTGGGACAAATCCCTGGTTTTGGAGAGATTTGCAGGAACACAGGGCTCGAAAAGTGTCCCAGGTAAATAGGAACATCTGGTCATGAGTACACTATTCTTTTTGCCAGTATCATTTTATAATCCTCATGTTTTACTTTAATTGGGTAATAAATTTCTTCAAACTTTTTTCCACACAAAAAAACATTCTCATCTTTAAAAGAAAAAAAAAAAAAAAAAATAAAAAAATATATATATATATATATATATATATATATATATATATATATATATATATATATATATATATATATCCCCAAGCTAACCGCCATCGTTTTGGTTGTATTTTCGAACTCCATCTCCCAGCGTGCACTGCTCTTTCGCACCGCCTCTTCCGCTTCCGTATCAACAGACTCAAACATGGCCGCTGTACGAGAGCAAAACCAAAGCACGGAGCGAGTTTAGTGTCAAATATCTACGTGAAATTCAAGTTGAGACAGAATGTTGGCGTGCGTGGACGTGGACACGGCGGAGGCGCGGCTGCAGCGCGTCACAGAGCTCCAGGAGTTCACGGAAACCTGCAGAAAACATCTGGAACATGTGTTCACAGAACTGCAGTGGAGACCCCCGTGTGAACCTCAGACTGAATCTGACCTGGAGGTAAGAGAGAGAGGGAGAGGAGGAGAGATGGGGAGAGATGGGGAGGAGGGGTGAGAAGAGAGAAAAGGAGAGAGGGAGGGATGGAGAGGAGGAGGAGGAGGGGGTAGGGAGAGTAGGAAGTGTGATGGAGCCAGCTTAAACCTGTGTTTGGAGGGGACCCAGATGGAACAGGGTGGAGAAACCAAGGAAGGGGATAAGGAGGGAGGGGAAGTGAGAAGGGGGTGAAGGAGGAGGAGAGAGAGAAAAGGAGAGGAGTAGGAAGTGAGAGAGGGAGGGAGTGGAGGGGTAGGAGAGGAAGAAGAAGCAAGAGGAGAGGGGTTGAAGGGGATTGACGGGACAGAGTTTAAAAAGAAGATCTACAGTTGTCTGGGAGTAATAGACTGAAATCCCCTGATCTAAGAACTTAGATTGGTTGTGGTTTGATTTAAGGAGGAGCTGGTGCAGTGCCCGTTTGATCCTGGTCACAGAGTTCCTCGCAGAAGTCTGGAGAAGCACAAAGAATCGTGTCACCTTAAAAAGATGAACTACTCCTCAGAGGAACAGGTGAGCAAGACACTCTCCAGGCTGGAACTCAGAGCGATATATCCACAACTCCACACACGACCAAATGAAGAAGATCCCATTCTGTTTGTATTAAAGGTGTACTATGAAGGGTCTACCTCAAGATGTAATTGCTTTGCCTAGAATGTTCCACAGTGTCTTTAAATGTATCCATCTTCATGGCGACAAATATCTGGTGCCAACAGGTCATTTGTTTTTTTTGTTTTTTTGCAGTAAAGCACTATTCTGGTCAGTGAGATGAATTCTTGTGATATTTGTCAGTTCACAAATCTCCCACTGTCGCGATTGTTCGTTTAAACAGTGGTTCAGGCCAATCACAGGAGCAAAGGTCAATCAATCATTGCATTTATGCAGCACCGTTCAAGACACTCAAAGCACTTTACAGATCATTGTTCATTCATTCCACTCAGTGGTAGAGCTACTACTGCAGCCACAGCTGCCCTGTGGCAGAATGGTGGAAGCAAGGCCCCCTTATTGGCCCCTTTGACAACCATCATCACTCACACATACATCACTTTCATACTAGGCAATGTGGGTGAAGTGCCTTGCCTAAGGACACAATGACTGCGCCCCCCTGTAAGACCTAATTTTCACAGTGTCTCCCATTCAAGTACTAACCAGGCCCAGTCCTGTGAGCTCCTGAGATCTGAGAGGATCAGGCTTTGGCCACATATCAGGTGAAGTAAACATGGGGACGCTGACAGAAGAACTTCTAACATTTGAGTAGAAATCCAGACTTTCTAGTTTGTGAAAATGGTGTGGAGGGAAACTCTTTGCACTTTAAATCGGTAAAACTCAATTCAGAGTTCAACCTGTAGAGACTCACACACAAAGAGGAAGTATTAGATGTTTTATTGAATGAGTCTCTTTGGCGCCAAGGCCCTGACAGAAGACACTGTGATGAAGGGCATGGCCGGTTAGATGAAGTTTAGGAGAGGTCTTTTTTTTTCTTCTCTTATGTGGTGATAATATTATGATAACATAATCAGTCCTACTTTACTCTGCTGGTTTTAGCCAACTTCAAACTCTTGATTCATTCATGTTTTTTGTTTGACAGGAGCAGATGCCTGACACGTCCTTCTGTTACAAGAACACAAATGTCAGGACCTTTGTCATGGGTGAGACACTAATCTCTGTCTTTTTATTTATTCACAGTGTTTTTCACCAAAGATCAAATCAAATGGATAAACTGTTATGGCAATATAAAGTAACATTACTACTATTACTACACCCTGTCCTTGGAGCATAACCCAAATCACACTGATCAGATTGTTGGTCACTGAAATATGTTTGTGCTTAGTCCAGTTCGTTTACCTGGGCACTTTCTGTATTTTCTTCATCTACACCCAGTGAATTTCATATCAGATATTGCTTAGTATTCATTTACTGTAAGGTGGAGGAAGAAATTGTGATGACTTGTATATTCCGAGATAGAATAGACTCATTGGTATCAGTATCAGATCAATATCATAGAATTGGATTAAAACATAAATCAACCCTCCTTTCTCTTTTTGTTACCTGTTGTAGATAAGATGACCCAGCATCAGGTGATTCTTCAGGCTCGTTCTGCTGCTCCGCTCATGAAGATGGAGGGCGTCTTTTGGCAAGGTCAGACTTCTGCAGTCGTCCACAAACCACAAATATGGCTCGTAGCAGATTGAAATGTGCAGCTCTGAATTGACTTCTACACATTTATCTGGAGTGAAAAGGCAGAACATGATGAATACTTGAATCTGATTGGTTGAAGCGTGGCAGCTGTGAAACAAACTGTAAAATCAAACTTGAGTTATATCCAGTTAAACTCAGACATCTTTCCCTTCACAAATGCTACAAAGTGTTTCCCTCTGCATGTCACAAACTAAATAGTGCTTATTTCTGCTAAAATCAGCTGATCGTCTGTATGTGTCACCACGTTTGTTTTGGTTTGTTGTAGTGCTTCACTTTTAGCTCTGCATCTGCTTCTTTGAGTTTTTTATACATTTCAGGTTTTTTTGTTTTGTTTTATATGCATTTATTTTGGGCAAGTAAATATTTACAGTCACATACAATAGAACATATAACATAAGTGAAATCATAATAGAAATGAAAATAACAACAACAAAAATTTCTATTATTATTTTTATTTTGCCCAAAAAGGAGTGGGAAGAAGAAAACGTATTTAATCCCACCCCTACTATTCATAATCTAACACAATGAGCTTTCTTTTGCGTTTTTCAGACATTTTGGTTTTGGTCCTCTTTTTCCTCTCAGAGTCGGACAGTTTGTCTCATATTTTTTGTTCCTCTCTCAGGGCAGTACAGCGGAGAACCTGTGGAGGTGCCGCAGAACCATAAGAGGGCGCTGTGTGACCTCACCGTGGCCGACCGATTGGCTCTGTACGATCATGTGACCAGCAAACTGTCCAGTCAGGAAGAGGCGGCTCCGTCCTCCAGTAACGAGGACCTGTACGTGGATCTGGTCAAGAAACTGCAGAAAGGTAAAACTATAATAAAGTGAGTCAAACATTGTGCTCCGTCTTCTCTGTCAGAGTAAACAAACAAAAGTAGAATTATGTCTTCTAGGGATGGGCATTCGATGAAATTTTCTTAATCGATCGTCGGAAGAATTAACGATCGATTATCGATTAATCATTAACGTTTTTATATTAAAATGATCATCATTATTACTATCTGCACTACTAATCTGCATAAATAAATTCAACTTTACGACATATAAACATAACGACTCTAGAGCCACATCAGCTGTTTGACATTATAATGTGTTTAATTCAGTTTTGTTCAACTCTCACAGAAACAAAACTTAAAACCACATCACTAATTTACATAAACTAAGCGAAGTTAAAACTCCAGCTCTTGTGTCACTGATGTGGTTGAACTTCTGTCGGATTAAAAGACATGACTCAGGTGAATACAGGTTAGTGTGACCAGATTTGCGTTTGTCAAAACCAGGACAGCGTACGGGGGGAGGGAGGTGGGGACTTGTCATCCACATTGAGCGACTCTCACCTGGAAAAGCTTTTTCCCTCTGGACACCGAAACATATGTGCTGCTTTATACTCTGTGCACATGGACTCACACTTGTCCCCAACGCAACGGAAAGCGTGGAATTTCTTGTACAAGTCATCGTTAAATACACATTTGCTCTTCGGCACGTTGCAGACTGACCCACTGTTTGTGTCTCGCTCCTTCTGATGCAGAGACACATGTACACACCTGTTTGGTCTCCCTACGCTACACATAGCGACTTACATTCAGTTTGTCGATTAAAATGAATGTAATCGATGAAATTCTTAATGATCAATTATCGATTAATTGACTAATCATGCCCATCCCTAATGTCTTCCAAATAGCTTTAGTGGTGCAGTGTCTCTGTTTGTGAACCTCTCCTTGTGTGAAAGTGGGATTGGAGTGAGTGGTTGTGGTGGGAGGATGGAGGAGATTGGCAGCCCCGAATTGCATCAGTCTAATGTAGCAAAGGAAAAAATTTAAATAATTTATATTCAAATTCTCAAAGTAGTCACCCTGTATTTTGTCAAAAAATGTTTAGGAAAAATAAAAACTCACACAATATAATATCATATAATAACAAAGAGAAATAATATCACAGCAGTCTCATTTTGACCCTTTGAGCTGCATTTACAATCTATCTGTGTTGTGGAAAAAAAAAATTTCTTATTACATGGAAAATTAGGGACAGCCTCTTTAAACATAGTTTGTGTTTTTAGACGAGGAGCAGAAGGAGCCCAAGACTCACCTGGAGCTCATGGCTGAGATGAGGGACTACAAGAGACGCAGGCAGTCGTACAGAGCCAAGAACGTGCACATCACCAAGAAATCCTACACAGAGGTATGAACATGCACCACACAGTACAATCCCACTGACATGATGAGGCTAACTGAAAACTCTGACATGTAACAACATAACACCAAGCTGAGTTCATGTGACAGAACAATATTCAAATACACCAGGTCCACACAGGTCACAATTCTGTGGGCAAAAATCTGCACATGTTAGATTCCACCTTTAACTGTTCTACTTTTAAATCCAGATTATCATCTAGCTCACCACTGGCAGTTTGATTTCACAAAAAATGTACTATGGGATTGTTGTTTGTGGGCCGCAGCTGCAGTACCTGGAGTGGCCACTAAGTGAGCTCGTGTCAGGACGGGGGGGTGTCTAATCCAGGTTTTATCACAGATTGTAGATGTAGATTTGGGATATTCCTTGGCCTCTGCAGCACAATGATGAGATCTGTGTTTCTGTGTTTTCTTCATTTGTGTTAAACACAGTTTGTTTTTGTCCAGGTGATTCGGGAGGTGATAAATGTGCACTCGGAGGAGCTGAGCCGACAGTGGAGAGATGAAGGGATCGACAGGAGTAGACGGGGGAGAGGGGAGGGGTCTGACAGGAGCAGACAGGGGAGAGATGAAGGGCCCGACAGGAGCAAACGAGAGGGGTCTGACAGGAGCAGAGAGTGGAGAGAAGAGGGGCCAGACAGGGGCAGACAGGGGAAAGAGGAGAGATCTGACAGGAGCAGACAAGAAGGGCCGGACAGGAGCAGGGAGTGGAGAGAGGAGGGGTCTGACAGGAGCAGGGAGTGGAGAGAGGAGGGGTCTGACAGGAGCAGGGAGTGGAGAGAGGAGGGGTCTGACAGGAGCAGACATCGCGATGGAGAACCCAAGAAAAAAAAGAAGAAACGCCAAAGGTGAGGAGCAGTTACAAGAGGAGTTTCACAGAAAAATAAATAAATACTTGTTTGTCTGGAACTTGTCAGTGATTTCTTTGAGAGGGGCTGGACTGTCTCTTCTCTGGTGTTGCCCGCGGGGATCGGAGGGGCTGGCGTGAGCTTTTAAGCCCACACCTCAGGTCCACCTGTTGAAATTCACCCTGGTGACCCTTTGGTGACACCCCAGTGACAGTTTTGTCACCGACCGGTGACTCCATCAGTGACACGTGGAGAAGAGTGATCAGGAGGAGTGACCTCTGATTTGAACCCGACTGGTTCTGTTATTGGATTTCTGTGCTTCTGTCACAGTTTGTCCATAACAAACACCATGTTCAGGCACAAGAGTTCGTCAGTGCATGAGGCTCCAGGACAGACAGGCCGGAGAACAGTGATCCATTTCGAAGAGTAGGGCAGAGCTGTAGAACATTTTCTGGTGTTGAGTTGGAGCAAGAAAAAGAATGCTTGAGGATCTCCTCAGTCTCACTGTCATGTCTTCTGAGGAAGCAGAGACTGAGGACTTGGAAGGACTAGGCCAGACATGTCCAAACTATGGCCCATGAGCCAAATCAGTCTTCCAGAAGAATTGGCCCAAATACCTTGCATCAATGAAAAATAAACTTTTTATTAGAAGTTTTTTGAAAATCTACCTTGATAAAGCTAATATTTATCATTTAGTGTGTGATTTTAAGGATCTTAGTGTGAATAAATACTGATGGCTCATTCTAACGTGTTAAACATGCACATATTTCAATTATTCCCTGTATTGAGCACCAGTCTATGGCCCTCGATCAGCCCTCTGATTCGTTTGTGTTTAGATATGTGGCCCTTGATGAAAAAAGTTTGGACACGCCTGGACTAGACCATCAGGCTGAAGTCACTGAGGTGGTCACAGTTTGTTCGAGCTTTGAGGATCTAAAGTCTGGGTCTTGCGATGTTATGTTTCTGGAGTTTGCCATAGTCCATATGTTTAAATGTTGTTTTGATATCAGGCAAAGTGCAACTATTTCAAAAGTGATTTATTTATGTATTTTATTTTTTTCCCAGAGATTCACGTTCCCCAGACGACCATCACAAACACAAGAAGAAGAAAAAGAAGGGAAAAAGGGAGGAGAGAGAGAGGGAGGAAAAAGAAGACAAGTGAGCCATACAACAGAGCACATGTTGTTAGAGGAGACATCCAATCTTCATGTCAAACAAACGGTGATACAGTTTGTGTGTGGGTGGGGGGGGTAAATTTATTCTTTTGTAAAATGATCCTAAAATGTGAAATAAAACATTTCTCTAATATAAGCTGTCCTTTTTTTTTTTTTTTTTTTTTTTTTTTTTTTTTAAACTTTCCTTTTGAGTCATTAACACAAGGAGAGTTAGTGACAAAGTGTTTAATATGAAGGTTTACTTTGGACTTTTGTAAAATTACAATATTTTGACCATGAATAGGTGACATTTCTGGTTACTTGGTTACTCCTGTTTAGTCCTGTTTAGTCTTGATTTGTTCGGACTAGTTAGGTCCTGTTTCAGTCCTGATTTGATCCTGGTTTAGTCCTCTCTCCCTCATTTTCTCTTAGGAGCTAATGACTGTGAGAAATGTGGTGTGACCGTGTCAAAGTTTGGTCAAAAGGTCAAAGGTCACAGAGATTTGCTCACATTTCATCAGACCTGTTTTTAAAAATATGTTGACCAAATGAACTTTCAAAGCCCAAAGGACTTGGCCGCCCCGCGCAACAGGTATGATGGATCACCAGAGAACTATGGACAGCCAACTTCAGTTTTAAGGATTTTATTACAATAATCTGCAGAGTTTTAGTTTAAAAAAGATGAAACAGGTCACAGGAGTGGGAGAAGTCCATTGAGTTCATAAAAAGGTTAAAAAATTAGAGCTAGTCCAGAGGTCCTGGCTTTCAGTCAGCTAACGTTACTCATGGCCGGTAAGTGACGGCTGGCACAGCTGGTGTGGTGGTTGGCCCCAGCGTGCCCCACGGAGCGGCCGATGAGTCTTCAGACTGCCCAAGACCTCCTGAACAGACACCCAGGTGTGAGAGAGAGCAATTAAAACATGAAACAAGTTAAAAAACAATTTCACCTTAACCCTATAGTGCAGGGGTGTCGAACTCATTTTGGTCCGGGGGCCATATTTAACCGACTTTGATCCAAAGAGGCCGGATCAGAAAACTCATGTCATATAAACCCCAAAAATAACAATAAGTTCAAATATTTGTGCAGAGAAACACAAATCTATTACAGAAATCTTTTTTAATTGATGAACTCTTTTTTTTTTACTAAATATTATAATATTATGAACAACCTGAAACTTTAACAAAAATACGCAAATAGGAAGAAGTTATTTTTTCTTGTAAAATCCTGCACTCGGCTCCACTTTTCTCATGTGGGACATTTTTCTGATGAGGGTGTCACGGTCAACAGAGACGCTGAAGACGCTGCTGTGATAAACACCACAGAAAATTAACAAGATTTTTATAGAAAATATAATTATAATATTTTAGTAGAAAATCAGCCGAGGGCCAGATTAAAAGTCTTGGAGGGCCGGATCTGGCCCCAGGGCCTTATGTTTGACACCTGTGCTATAGTGCATCCTCTAAGTGCCATGTAGTTAGAGTGAGCTGCTTTGTACCAACCTGAACAAACAACAACCAGGTGTGAGAGAGAGAGGGAAAAGGTCTACAGGGTTTATGTAGGCACCGCCCCCCAACTGTCAATTATAATGGCCATTGGCCCACACCAAACAAAAGAAAAACCCACACAAAGAAAAAACACACCTATGAAAGTGACAGAGGAACAATACCAGAGCTCGGTCAAGCAGAAGTAAACAGCAAGGCCAAAAATTCAAGTTAATGCATCTGATATAAAATGTATTGAACAGATACATATGTACTCTAGTTTATGAAACTGTTGACCTTTTTTCTGTACCATTTTTGGTTCTAAAGTTCCATATGTTTTAAACAGACCATGTATGAAACATGGAACAAAAATTATTTCCCAAATTTCAAAGACCTGCAAATCATGTCAATAATGTATTTCATCATATCTTGTGTTATTCCATCTTTGAACTGTTGATGAAGGTACATGATTTTTAAAAAAAAAGTATTTAAAATGATAAAAATTAGCTTGGAAGGACTGACATATTTTATAGAAATAGTTATTAGTATTCGGAAGAAAAAAGTTGACAAATGATGTAAAATCCTGCACCTTTTACTTGCTTGAACAATTTTCCATCCGTTACTTTTCCCTCCGTTACCATGACCTTTCTTAATAAAAAATCTCATGAGTCAAAAAGTAAGAGGTTTTTCAACCTAATCTTGTACCATATGGTAGAAAACTATATGAAGCAAATATTCAAACCAGTTTGTTAAGGATATGGAAGTGAGAACCAAGAGTTATCACTGTTTGGATTTATTGCCCAAAAAGTGCTGCATATTTCATTCCCTCCGTTACCAACATGAGTTTTTAAATTTTTTGTCAACAACTTGAAAGAATATCACAGGTTTAACTTGACCCTGTTGGAGTGTAACTCTTTCCTACATTCTGATACTTTACTTATTTCAATAGTCCCTCTAGTTTCTGAATAAGAGACATTTGAATGTCAAAAATCTGCCCCTGTTTCCCTCCGTTACCACTTGACTGGACCCACCAGCATTTAAAAATACATAAACTCAAATACAATGTGTATGTATGAAAAAGAAAACTAAGTTGTTATGCATAAAAGTGAAGATTTCTGTTTACAATTGATTAATAATTGTGCCTGAACTGAAATGTATTGATATGTAAAGTTTAGTAAGCATCACCGTAGATGTTTTTTCTTGAAAATGGAAAAATGGGCAGAGAACATAAGACGACTCTTCGTCTTTCTGCTCCTTTTCATTCATTTCTTGTGTGTTTGATGTTGTGACACTGTCGATGTCTTTTTATACTTTATGAATGAAATAAATAAATTAATAAACAATAAACAATGAACACTCACACTGATCACAGGCTTCTGAAAATGTATGAAAGATGATTTGTTTCAACAGATTTTGAATTTGCAATGCTGTTGAATTTCTCACTTTGAATTTTTTAACATGTTTGAATTATTTTTATTCTGAATGGCATTTGTTGAAATTTTAAGTGTAGATTCAAATGTTTTCAAATTCAATATAAAAAAAAAAATCACTTCTTTAAATATACAGTGTAAAAAAAAAAAAATTGCGGGAAAGATCCAAGATGCCAAGACCTAAAGAACTTATCCAAAGTGAATTTCTCACTTTGAAATTTTTGTGTAAAATTTCCCGCTTGTTACAAAATTAGATCGGAACTATCACAAATTTTACACTGTTGAATTTGAGCTCTTGAAAGTATTTCTGCTGAATATTAAAAAGGTGATTTTTTTATATTGGATTTTAAAAAACTGAAAATGCACACTTAAAATTTCATCAGCTTCCATTTAGAATAAAAGTAATTCAAACATGTCTTTTCAGAGTAAAAAAAAAATCAAAGTGAGTAATTCAGTGGCATTAAAAATTCAAAATCTGATGAAACAAATGATCTTCCATAAAAATGCACTCTTTAAATCCATTTTGTAGTTTTTCTTGAGTTTTCAGATGATCCTAAATGTTTTTTGTCAGTGTTTGGTATGTGAGCATTGTGACACCACGGTAACTGCTGAACATTTCACCATAGAGGTACATGTAGAACACCCCTAGCAAGCTGTCCCTGCAAAGTTTCCTTTAGCAGATCGCCAAGACTGTCATTTTGGAAGTTTCATAATTTCCCCCACAAACAACATCTCCTGTTTTATTCTGTGTACAAACTTCTAACCGTGTAGTTTTGATCTGTACAAATGTGTTCTGAAATGTGATTCTTGTTTCGGGTGACCAGACGTCCCTTTTTACCCAGACAGTCCCAGTTTTATACAAGAAATGTCCCAGGTGTCTCTATGGCTGCGTTCAGACTGCAGCCTGAAGTGACCCAAATCCGATTTTTTGGCCTCTATGTTCCTGTATCTGATCTTTTAATGACAGACTGAACGACGCAGATCCGATTTTTTCAAATGTGACCCAGGACACTTGGATATGTGCTCCTGAAACTGATACATATCTGATCTTTTAACATGTGACTTCAATCTGAACGGCTAAAGTGCATTCATCCACCTACACGTCATCAACAAGACACAAACGTCACTATTCTGCACTGAAGTAGGTGAAAATTGTTAATGAACTCTGTATCACTGAAGTGAAGCACATCACCACTCACCACTCTTGGCTCCGTCTCCACATTCACATGTTCTTTTCAGCGGACTGTCCCACAAAACGCCACGGTCAAAAACCTCGTCCTTCTCCTTCTCAATCTCCTCCTTAAAACAAGTAAGTTGTTCATGTTCTGGCTCCGGTACGAGAGGAACTTTAAAATCTCCAGGTGCTCAATGCTCCAAGAGGCTAGACCGGAAACACATGACCTCCACCGAAGACGTCATCTCTACTTTAATGTAAACCTATAAGGCGACGAAACAATTTATTTTGACTGCAAATAAATGTTTATTAAATAAGATTGTTTTTACGTTATGGAGTTTGTTCCCACATATAAACATGGAGCAAAACGACCATCTGGAAGACAGAGAAAACATGTGAGTAACACGCTTTTAACTTTAGGAAATCATTACTAACACAACTGTAAATGTAAAATACAGCCATAACTCCCACAAAACTGTCAAATAAGTTTATTTTTAACTGTGTGAACCTCGGAGATTTGAGTTAAAAGTTTGATTAGTAATCAGATAAGATAACGCGATGAAAAGTCAGCTCAAACTTTCATATTTGGACAGATTTCCATCAAACACTAATCATGTTTTTACTGTTAGGGGTAAAGAAGCCCACGGAGTGATTTAATGAAGCTACGAGGAGAAAACGCTGCGTTTTCACGCACAGTGACTGGGTTAAACTTGTAAACACTTGGCCAGTATAAGTGTAAGTGCGGTAAGATAAAAACATGCATTATTTCATGCATTAAACATAAAAGACACAGTTTTTTATGTTTAATGCATAAAACATTAAACATGTCAAAGCTTATATTTACTTGTAAATCATGTAACATAAACCTCCAACGTGTGCATTTCATTCAGGGAATACATGATCTGCTTTTAACAATCCATGCATGTTTGTAAAGTGAAGAGTAAAGAATCCTGCCTGGACACGTCAGATATAAGGTGGACATGAGGCTCATTGAACAGATTTTGCAGACACTGTTGTAGATACTAGACACACCTGTGTCTGTTTGGCCTTTCACATCTAATATCAGAACAGTGAGTAAACAGTTTGATATTCATGTTCTTTTCTCGTCTGCAGCTTCCTGTATGAGAACACAACACACTGCTGGGGCCACAGAACAGTTGGCTGATGAGACGCTCATGATTCATGAAATGGGTCAAATGCAGATGACAAAGTAAAGCCAACACTGAGCAGGAGGTGCTGACCCAGACTTCTGTCTCTGTTTAGGTCTGGGACATGTTACATTGAAAACTCCAATAATAATAAGAGCTGCAAATGAATCAGGCTCATGTTGAAATCATTATTTAATTTGTGAAAATGCACATTTCTCAAATGTGTGGGATTTAGCTGTTTGGATTTATGTAATAGTTTTCTTAATGTGTGTGTGTCAGGTTTAAGCCCACCTAAACATTGTAAAAGTAAGAAGAAAGACAAGAGATTAATATCGTTTACTCGCGAGGAGGACGGACAGAGAGTGCGATCAGTTACAGCAGACTCCACCCGCCCTCATGCACTCCCTGTGTCTCCTCTTTTTATTGTCATAAGGGAGTCCCTAGTTACAATGGGTGTTTCTCTAAGGGGAGGGGTTGAAAACAGCAAAAAACAATAGAAACATCAGACATGATTTCATTGTGCAAATATGTATATTCAGCAGCAGGTGGCCGATAAGGTGTAGCATCATTGTTGTAGCATCTTTGTTGTTGTAGCATCTTTAGGAACAGCACGTCCCCTCCAGCACGTCCCCTTCTTTCTGCCATCATTGAGAGCCGTCCTCTTTCTCAGCAAAGAGCTGACTAAGTCATTGTTTTAGCGGTGTGCAGAGTGGGCGACAAGTCACTGCATAGTTATAAGCACAAACATTATTTCACACAAAAACAATACATAGAAAATATGGGATAACATGTACAATTATTCTAACAGTGTGTCATTACAGGTTTTCACTCTGCAGGACATAACTTTCAACCAGTCAGATGTAAGGCCCATTCTGCTCTTCCTCCTCCAGAAGACGAGAGATACATCAGACTGAGTGGCCTAGTCCACTGGGTCATGTCTCCACTGTCCATGTCCAGACTCACAGAGGAGGAGGAGGAGGAGCAGGTCCAGACTGCTGCAGACCTGTGGGGCCTCTGGTTGCATCAGGCCTCCCTCCTGCACATTCTGTCTGCTGCTGTTCCTCATGTGTGCTAATAGTGATGTGTCCATAAAGATTCTTAGCTGAAGAGCACCTAAACAGCTTTATCACTGAGGAAGTGTCCCATGATAAATGTGGCCTTATATGACCTTAACAAATGTATGAGACAAAACTAGAGTCATAGAAGTTGCTCATAATAAGTTTTTCTGAATGTTTTTCAGTCTGTACTGATGTTTGATTCATGATGAAATGTGCCATTTACTTGCTGTCTCTTTTGAAAGTAACTAGTTACATGTACTATAAGAATGTACTATTGTACTGCAGTTATGCAGTGGTATTCCACCTGATCATATATTGCAGTATTTTTTTTCTGCTTCAGGAAAATGGGAACAACTCTTTGAGAGTACACTGACATACAGCTGTTTGTCCTCACCTATTAATGCAGTGTGTGTGTGTGTGTGTGTGTGTATGTGTCTGTCTGTGTGTGTGTGTGTGTGTGTGTGCGCGTGCGCACGCGTGTGTGTGTGTGTGTGTAATGGGTTTAATGTTTGACTATTCACATTATGATAAAGTATTTACAGAAATTCCTTTGATTGTTTAATAAACCATCTTTTCTCAAAGCAGAGACGTCTTTCTTCATAAACTGACTTAAATACATCCCCGGTATAAATGTAATCCTTTATCAGTTTAAAAATACTTTATTAATAATTTATACTCTCATCAGTTTTTCAAACTTTAAGGTAATTTAGTCTATTTTAGATGTATCCCATAAATATTGCCGTTTTGTTTTGCAAGAGTTAAACATAAGTTGTCGTTTTTAGCCATAAGATTTGGATGAGAATTATTAGAATAACTTGGTCTGAAATTCCAACAGTTTGATTTCCCGTGCGTCATCTGCGTGGTACGTGTTGTTAGCATTAGCATGTTTTTTGACAGTGTTTAATATGTGTGCATTGTGACACCACAGTAAATGCTGAATATTTCACCATAGAGAGACACGTAAAACACCCCTAGCATGATGTCACTGGAAAGTATGCATTAGCAGATCGCGAAGAAGTTCCATAATTTCCTCCACAAACAGCAACATCTCCTGTTTTATTCTGTGTACAAACTTCTAACCGTGTAGTTTTGATCTGTACAAACATGTTCTGAAATGTAATTCTTGTTTAGTGTGAGCAAACGTCCCTTTTTATCCGGGACAGTCCCAGTTTTGAGCCTGTGTCCCCTGTCCCAGCAGATTTATACAAAACCAGTGATTTGTCCCAGTTTTATACCAAAAATGTTCCTGGTGTCCCTATTTGTGACCAATCTGATCCCTGTCAACAGTAAAGAGAGACATTTGTTTCGATAAAATACAGAAAAGCTGCTTAAAAATGACCAAAACATAAAGAAAATGTGACTAAACTGACTCACCAAGTAGAGCTGCTCGATTATGGAAAAAATCATTATCACGATTATTTTTGGTTAATATTGAAATTACAATTATTCAGACGATTATTTTTCAGTTACACGATGCATTTATTCTGCATTTCTCTCTCAAAAAAAACACTGTTACTGATAATTTACAGAAAACTTTCAAATTGAAAATAAATATAGGCTACAAATATGAACCTTAGAGCAGTTTTGCGATGTAGAAAACATAAAATGAATAAAAAATACATTTTGAACATAAATAAATAAGGCAGAAAAACATAAGTGTATCCAAAATTAACTTTAGACAAACTTAATTGATCCACAAGGGAAATTATTTATATATCAAGTTAAATTAACTATATTTTCATCTGTTCTACAATCTCTATATTAAAAAAAATAATAATAATAATTATACTTATTTATATAGAAAATATCCTAAAATAAACTTTGTTAAGCTTTATCGTTTCAACTTGATTATATGAGTTTGGAGATTGTTTGACACACAAATTTAAATTGTGATCAAAATTTGATTAATCGCAGACTTATTACCAAGTGTGTAACAATTTTCTTTAATGACGCACTCACAATTTTATTCTTACCAACCTCTCCAAACCCAGAATGTCCCAGTTTTTGATTTTGAAATTCACCCTGTTCTCAGATTAGTTTGTCAGTTCAGATTTCAGTCTTTTTGGGAATCTTCTGAAGTCTTTAAAATGCCAGATCTATTCATAATCACAACTAAACAACAAAATTTGTAATGTACATTCCCTGGTACAGTGAAAATCATTTTGTGACCCGGTTTTGGCCCCCAAGCCGCCTGTTGAGAAGCCCCGGCTGAAACAATGAGCTGTTGTTTCAGACTGGACCAGATCTCATTCAGATCTGGACTAAAGCTCCACTCCGGAATTTCACAAGAGGATGAGAAAATGTGGAAAAATGGACAGAAAAGCAAGGCCCATCCTCCTAAACCTGGGAACCTCCACAGACCTGGTTTAGTCCTGGTTTGGTCCTGGGTTAAACTTTATTTAGTCCTGGTTTAGTCCTGGTTTAGTTCTGACCAAGATTTGATTTAGTCCTGGTTTACATTTGACTTGGTCCTGCTTTTTTCCCCTGGTTTCCATCTATATTTTGGACCTGTTGTAGACCTAGTTTAGTTCTGGTTTGGACCTGGGTTTAGACCTGGTTTAGTCCTGGTTCATTTCTGGATTAAATATGCAAAAAGTGGATTAAATTTGGAATGATGTGCTGAAGAGGACTCAGGATAATCCCTCCTGCTTTGACCCTTTCTCTTTTTTGTTTTTGGATTTCAGCCTTGACTAAAGGTAGGACCAACTTCACTGAATGTCCAGAAGGATTTAAGAAAATGTGTAACTGAGATTAGTAGGGCAGAGTGTGCATTTTAAACCAGTCCAGGAGCATTTACATTTGAGAGAAGACTGAAATCTGAACTTTAAACTAACAAAAGAATCCTAAACATATCAGAACACTGGACACTGAATTAAGAACTGCAGCTTTTAAGATTTATGTGACTCGAGGTGAACTATAACAAACTCCGAACAATAAATAAAGCTCCACAATGGAACTCTTTTGCCTAAAAAACTGACTAAAACAAAAGCATGTTTTTTTCAGTATTGTTGAGTTTTTTTGAGTTGCAAAGGAAAACAGAAAAACATGCAGACTTCCATGGCTATAATATTCCACAGTAAGGCAGAAAGCTCCTCCATGGAGAATGTTGTAAAGTCTGGTTTTAGCTTTTTATTTCCATGGAATCTTGCAGTTGACTTTCCACCTCCACTAACACTTGTACATACAGTGGTTTTGTCCCCGTAGGAAAATGTGTCCTCTGCTTTTGATCCGTCCTTCAGTGTCTCTGGGTTAAACGTGTCAGGAGCAGTGGGACCATCTCCAGATCTTCATCAGGACTATCTAAGCTGGAGCATTTGACCTATGGTGCATGTTTTAGGACAATATTGGTGTGTATATTAAAACAAAAACAAAACAAAAAAAACTGTTCCCCTAATTTCCCATTCAAAGTAATTCAGTTTCACGTAGATTGATTCAAACAATAAAAGAACATTTAAAAGTGGCTCAGATTGTATTTTGATATTTAATGAAAGCAACAGTACGTCACTTTTGGAACATTCTCCACAGAGGTAGATCCTTTAATGTCATACTGTGGAATATTATAGCCAAAAAAACAACATTTCCATGGAAACAAACAGAAACAGGTCAGATATGAGTCAGGTTTGTGAAGATGCAAGCCCACCCACAGTATGGATCATATTCTTATGTTTTTTCATAGGTGAACAATGAACATCTTCATAATGTAAACATGTTTTGATGTTAGTCTATATTTGCAAAAAAGTGACATAGTGTGGCTTTAAATAAAAGTGAATCAAAGGTGCAGCTTTACCACAGAGTCCTGGAGCTCCTTTGGGCCGCAGCAGGTTTCTGTTTTTCACACTTAAACTCCACTTTGGTTTTATTTAAACAGACCGACTCCACAGGCTCAGCAGAGCAGAGAAGAAGTCTGCACACACACACGGAGAACACTGAGAACACACTGAACACACACTGAACACACACTGAAAACACACTGAACACACACTGAACACACACTGAACACACACTGAACACACACTGAAAACACACTGAACACACTGAGAACACACTGAACATACTGAACACACGCTGAAACACACTGAACACACACTGAACATCACACTGAACATACACTGAACACACACTGAACATACACTGAACACACACTGAACATACTGAACACACACTGAACACACACTGAAAACACACTGAACACACACTGAGAACACACTGAGAACACACTGAACATACTGAACACACACTGAACACACTGAACACACTGAACACACACTGAGAACACACTGAACACACACACTGAACACACACTGAACATACTGAACACACTG